TTGACCGCAAATTCGTTTCTGAGAGTAACCATTTTAACCCCTAAGTTGGTACTCATAGAATTCGGGTGTAAACACGGTGTCCATAAGAAAATATCAGAATTCGCTTGAACAAAATAAAAAACCGACAAAAAATGCATTGAAACAATGGACAGAACTATTGTTTTTTGTAATTTATGGTTCATATATATATATATTTCTAAACAAAATATTTATTCATTTATCTCAGGTATACGATCTTCTTTTCCCAAAAGTACACTATCCTCCAAAATGTTATTTGGGCACTCTTATGTCTAGTGGATTATTATATATTGCTGGTGGAAATATTTAAAAAATTATTGAGAAACTCATTTAAAACGGGAAGGGACTTGTGAGGAGGGACTTTGTACTCGTGACAACTTTTATACCTATCTGTCCCTTGGTTTTTTTACAAATACAGGAGGAACGCTGTGAGACGCGCTGGAAAGCATCAAAACTTTTCAAACTTAAAACTTTTTAAAAATCTTTCATCTATATCATCTTAACACCAACACGTCCTTTTAGTTCGTCCATCTCCACCTGACCCACGCAATGCACGAGTCAAGGTGTGCGAACTAGTGAGAATGAGCAAGCATTGGATGGCTGATCCCCTTTCATCAGGGGTGATAGCCACTGCAGATTAATTTCTTCATTCTGGCTATAATAATAATCCAATCTGAGCCTAACATTTAAATACTTACTCTGTATGGATATTTTGGTTGCTCCATCTCTTATAGTTTTGGAGAACTATCCGACAACCCAGACAGACAGACAGACATAACTATATACACTCGGCTATTGATTTGTATTAAGAATATATATACGTTGCAATTTTACTATTTTATTTAACCCAACTGACTACACTAAGTTGACTGAAAACGAATTTTGTTTGCGAAAAACGTATCTTTAAGGGAAGATGGTTTAATGCAAGGCCAAGACTTCAACATCTTAAAAAAGTCAACAATCAAAGTTGTATAACGCACTGACAGTGATTTGATGGTTCGTAGGCAATTGATTACACATACATAAGTAAATGTAAGAAGAAAGCTACACATTTGGGTCAGAAAGTACATGGGTGCAAGTTTGGAAAAATGCATTTGGAGCATAAACTAAGCTGATAAGAGTAAAGTTGTACTATATGTTAAAAAATACTACGGAATATATATGTTTGGTTTTAAAAGAGATCCGATTACTACAAAAATTCTTGAAAAACACGTCGCTAAGAATCTTGGGTTGATTTATGAGCCACAGCCCATAAGAACTGGTACATTCTTCTTGGTCTGGCAAATACTTATTTCAGGTTCAAGTATTATTGGCCCAAATCCTATAGAAGCGTTAACATGACCTGATTGAACCAATGATTTTTTGCAAATGTTAGTAGTCAGTATAACGGTATTAAAAGAAATTTTGAATATTAATTGTATTTTCGCCATTTTTATAAATATTATTATCATCAGCCACCGTATTGTATGTACATTTAATATGTACAAGCATGTGTACGAAATTTACATATATACATACATACATATGTATCACGTAAATTGATTCTATACAGGATAGATTAAAGTAGAAAAATAACAGAATATATGTATGTACATATGTAAATGCCTGTTAGCGGACCATTCCTCTATTTTTCGAAGAGACGGGAGGAATGGCAAAAGTTTAGTATGTCCGTTACAAATGTGCATTTTTACATAAGTAAAAGAAACGCGTTGTTAAAAATGTATTTAAAGAATTATTCCAAAAATTCTTCCTGTAAATTATTATTTAGCCTTATTCAATAAATTCAAATAAATAAAGACCGCGCCTTTATGTTTCTAACTACATATTATATTCTTATTAGCACGTTTCCCCTTCTGTCCATCAGTTTGGGTCAAATGTATTAAATCATAAAAGGGCGTTACCCTTAAATAACCAATAGCATGGCACAGTTTTCTCCACCGTATTGCTCCTCCCATGGGCACGAAAGGGCAACGCCCATACTCACATACATATATATATATATGTGTATGAATTCATGTAGCCTCGTATGTGTAGAATTTCTGCTTGTGCATACGTACAAATGTATGTATGTATGTTTACTAAAAGCAATGAATGTAAAAAAAAGTATGGACTTTGATTATATGCTTGTAAATTAAATTGACATTTAAAGCACTATTTGGTTGTCAATACAGAACGATAGAATCGTGCTTTGTTCCTATTTAATCTTTTTTATAAACATTGAGATATGTGCATATGTATGTGTGTACATAGATCTGGAGAGCATATTAAAGACATGTACATATCTGTAAAGAAATAATTGTACAAATTAAAATCTTTTCATATATTAAACTGATATACCAACTGTAGAGGTTTTATTACATATGTATGTATTGTATGTAAGTTTCTTTGGTTCGAAAAGATCGAAAAAGTATGTAAGTATGTACTTGTTTCATGTACATGTATCACTTAATAACATCTTGGGGTAATGATGGAATGTTTATAAAGCTATGAAATGTCTTATTGTCATGTGTGAAATGGTGTTTTTCACTTTTCACAATACTGACGCAATATTTTAATATGTTTGTAATATGTTAATATGTTTTAAATATGTTTGTACATATGTATGTATGTATTTGTGTGTAAATTTGGGCTTGTATGATTTATAGAAGCGTAATTTTCAAAGATCTCATGGTAATAATAAGTGTAGTTTGGTATAACACAATAAAATACACAGTTATTGCTGAATTCGACAACGTTTAGCAGTGCTGAAAGTGAGATAAAAAGTGATGATACAAATGTGATCCAATCAGAGTGCTATAAAACACCGTTATATTATTAATTACATTTACAATTTAAAATCTTTTATTCTCAGATGTCAGAATTGGGTCACCGAAATGGTAACATGCTTCATGAATTGACAAAGTAGACAAAGTATACATATCTATGTACATATGTATATACACATGTATGTATGCAAAGCGTAAATTTGCAATGATTAGAGCGATATCCATATGTAGATATAGTATAGCTGCTATAGGAACCATCGGCCACATGTCATACATTTCAATTTTGAGATCAAGTTTGCACCCCAAAATGTTGTTGAATCATGCTAATCCGGCACTCGAAGAGTAAATAGGGTATATTCGATTTGTGGTCGAGGCTACGTGCGTAACGCACAAAAGGAAACGTTTCAGAACTTATACAGTGTTTATGTATTCTTGATCAGCATGAAGAGCCGAGTGGATACAACCATGTGTGTCTGTCTGTCCTTCTTGTTTGACGGATAATTCAGAGAATTCTAAGAGCTAGAGTCACCAAATAACACCGCAAGGTACGAATCTGTAACATCCACAATTTTAGAGATATGTGCGAGATACACAGCTCCGTGGATAATGTCCACGCGTCAGATTTGATCATTATTATAGCCAGAATGAAGAAATTAATTTGAGCGCACATATTATGTGCATATTTATTGTATGTGTAATTAGGACAAGAGACATAAATTGCGAAGCTGTTGACCTCGACTACCAACTACTGGTCTCCAGTTCGCAACTTTTTTAGTTAATTATCATTAAGGAAAACATATATTACAAATTTTATATTTGTACTATTATATTATTTTTGTACCAAATGTATTATATATATATTTTTGTGATCATTTGGTTATTCAGTTAAACACACTTTAGTCACTTTCTTCTTCAATTATAACTAGTGTTAGTTATTACCCCTATGCATAAATGTAGACGATGGAATGTACTTGTCTTGAAAATTCGATGAAGGACCACATTCTGGTCGTCTTTTTATAATTTTATTGTTCGGGAAGTACGGAGCCGTCGGGGACTTCTAAATTAAGTTGTCCCGGAAGAAAAAATACGCGTATGTATGTATATTTTTACATATGTACATAGAGAACACATACACATCACATTGGCAAGAGAAAAATGTAGTTATTGCGTTTAACAAATTATAGTGGACTCTCCTCCCAGGGTGTTAGTAATCATAAATTACAAAATTCCCTTTAACTCCTAGAATAATCCTACAGTTTTTTGAGAAAATATATCCATAAATGGATAGGCACAAGTCTTTCATAAGGCGGAGCATGCTCTTGATCTACATACATGTATTGTATGTACCTCCAACGCTATAAAAGGATATACATATGTACGTAACTGTAGTAGTAGTTGTAGTAGTTTTCACTTCATCGAATATGAAATTCCGCACCTTTAATGGATAGTAGATAAATATTCTACGTGCGCGTCAGGAAATTTAGCGCTCATTATTCGGAACTATTAGTAAAACAGTGTTTAAGCGGGGATCAATTATAATATCCAGAAATAATTTTATGAACTGAATGCACGTTCTCTAGCGGTCATCAAAATTGTGATTAATATCCAGATAATGAATAAATAGATCAGACGTATTCATTTAAGATATGTGAATGGTGCAGAGCTTGTCAAAAAATGTAAGGAGAGTAAGAGCACGGGTCGGCATTGTTAGATTGTGTGAAAATACCGGCTTAGCAGGAGTTTCATTGTTAGCAGACAATTCAACAATTTGGAAGAAGGAAATCTGCAGCATTCCTGAACTATTTTAAAACCATAGGCTCAACTGGGGTTGAAACAACATCTTTGTCGCTATTGGTGGACTACTTTTGTCAGAATAACGATTCAAATGCATGTGTCATGTATTCAACGTTATATGAGCAGTAGCCATCCCTTTCTGGTGTACTCAAACCGACATGCCATTGTTGGAGCGAGTGAAACGAAACGAGTATAACGCGAAACGAAGGCAGTAGGTAGAGCTGTTACAACGAGCAGCAGTAACCTCACGACGAATTTGCTTGCTGCCCAGCCCTCAATATTTCTCGAGCTGGTATTGGCTGGCCAAAGAAAAATGAATAAGCAATATTTCATGTTTGTTTTGTTCAACGAAGTGTATAGCCAGTACCAAACACAGCACAAAGTCATCGTTAATAGGAAAAACTTATTCGAGGGCTATCCAGAAGCCATCTCAGGAGTACTCGTCAGTACTGTTCAGACCTCTTATTTCATTTGACGGAATCGTGTCGAGTGGATATTCATAATAAATTCACTGACGTGGGCTTATATGTGTTGAAATTTACATACATACTTATATTGTGCTGAAGAAACAAAAATCAGGTGTTACATATTCTAAGTGATTTGGCAGTAAACATTTTATCTTCAGAATCAAGCTTAAAATCACCACCTAAAATAGTTCAACATCAAGTTCATGATTACCAATTTATTACATTGGGGATATACTCTGCTATATGTTTATATACAAAATTGAGTGAGTTCAATGGATATGATTAAATTTTAACCGTGAAAACTGTGAACCCAATTACAAAGAATAAGTGACTCAAACTACAAAAAAAATTGGATTAAATACAACTTTGTTTCATTGAATTAAAGTATTCACATTGAGACTTTTAATTTAAATCATTTATATTTATGTGATATATATATATATATATACATACAATATAAATTGTATATTTATATTTATATGTACATATATAAAAACATTATATAGTTTTAGGAAATTGTTTGTTCTTGTACAGTAAAAGAAACGAAAAAAACGACCATGACAATAAGCTAATGCACTTAAATCATAGGTATTTCATTGTTAATATGCGATTATAAGTATATGTACGTTAAGTTTTTGTATATGTACAAACATACATACTTATGTACCTACGCACGTAATCTTTCTCAAATTGATTAATATTTACACTTTTGGGTGTGTCGTTAGATGGAAGCCTTTTGTTTGTTTTTAGTGCAAAGATGTTAACGAAATATTAGCCTAATTATTCTTCATCGTAGCCAGGGATACCACTCCAGTAACTATTTCTAAATTATTAATATAGCTTCTGTCATATGAGGTTTGTCATGTGAATGATATGAAAATGCTTCTTTTCTGCCCGAGCATACATACATCTGTACTTGTGTAGATTCAGTGCCATTTTTATATACAAAAACCGAACGAAAAGTATCTTGTGCAAAAACAGTAGGCACATACACTTGTATGTACATACATACATATGTATTATGTAGGCATATACTTATCTATGTACACCAATGGCGTGCTATTGTTTGTATAGTATTCGTGTATTACATTTTTAACTTTGTGGTTGGAAAAATAATGACTACGTTCATCCAAATACCAGTTTAGAAAAATAAAAAAGTTTACAAGTTTAACTACGAATAATACAAAAAAACAATCTGAAATCCACACCTCATTATAACGGGCATATTAATGCCTATCTTACCCGAATGTAGTGCACTGTAAATAGTTCCACATCCGTCTCTCCGATAGTTTTAAATGTATCTGGATATAGCTTGGTACACACTACTTTTTTTGCTAACAGAATATGTAAGGCTGTAAATAAATGGTACATACAATGTACATATGTATGTACATAATTATGTATGCATGTACATTAATATGTTTATATATAACGGAACAGCCAACATAAGAAAATCAATAAAACAAAATGATTTTATTTTTATGAAATGAACGATATGAATAAAAAAGTTCATCACTTAAACAAATACAAGCAACGATCAGAAGGATCGAAATAAATCAGTAAAATCCAAATCGGTTGACTACGTCTAATAGCTGGCTTAGCCATATTTTTTTGATAGCGTTACTAGTTAAAAATGTTTGTGTTTGTATGCATTTAATTACATAGATAAATAAGTATTTACAAGCTGCATTCCTGCATATTACATATGTATGTATATAAAACATTTCGTCATTAAAGCGGCTATAAAGTTTAGACTGCTGTTTTTTTTACGATGTAATTTTAAGCAAAAAAAATTCATTTTTTAATGGAACAATAAGCTTCTTAAAGTAGTTTTTAATAACTTAAAATAATGAAATCGTAATAAATGTACTTAAGGCTTGAAATTACTGTAGATAACGCTTGCAGTAAAGTAAGTTTGTTGGCTGAGCTTGAAGCTTTATACATATGCTCCTAACCTTTTTACCGCAAAGCGCTCTAGTCAGAGCGTATGTGCTTATGTACAATAAGTACTTATTTACATATGTAAATGCATAAAGACAAATATGTATTGTAATTACTGTAAGCATTGTAATGAAATGCTAGTGCGAAGTCAAAGTCAGATAAAACTGAGAGCCTATACATATAATCAGACTTACCCACGGACATGGCCCCGACTCCATCGACTCACTTTGTCGTTCCGATTAAACGAAAATGTATGCACATACTTACATATACATATGTATGTATATGTACAGCATCTGTACAATCATGTAGTAGTACCGTCATAGAATAAGTAAACCCATACGTAGTTCTTCTTGAAATATGCCCTTAAATGACGGTAAATAGTACGATAGCAGTAAAAATAGCTGAATAGATGGTATCAACAACTTTTTTCGTTTGAAAGATAATCAACAATAATAAAAAATGGCTATTTAAATGTTAGCTAGATAGTTTGTACTATTTTCTTAAATAGGATTAATCAGATATCGAATTTTTATAAGAGACACTGTAATCATCAAAGTCTTTCACAATTACTTGAAAATAATAATAGTTTAAATTTTAATTCTAGAGTTATAAAATTACGTGGATTTGCAAGCTGCTGATAAATAACTTCGTATGTCAGCCTCAAACCTTGTTAATACATCAATAAATGAGAAAAAATGCTATAGAGAAATAACCATAAATGGAGAGCCACATTTAACTGCATTAAATGAATCGGATTTGGTTATGAGTTTATCTCCAAAAGACATACTTATACCTTTAGCAATTTCCCAGCATCACCAACTGGAGCCTCCTACCAAATTAAATACAAACGAAACATCGGCACAGAACCCGATTTCCACAGCAGCCGCTGCAGCGGTTGCACATCACCATCATAATATTTCAAATATTCACCACCTTCAGAGCCTGCATAGCCAGCATCAGAGTTCTTTATTTAATAACAATCACTCAACACCATTTAGTGTCACCGATATTTTAAGTCCAATAGAGGAATCATATCGCAAACTGGAACTAAACGGAAATCCCCCATCTCCGTTTCGGTAAATATAATAAGTTAATCTTGAATTGTGTAAAAGGCCAATTGGTAGATACTCGTAGAATATTAATATTTTTTAGTATACTCTTACATGTAGTCTTTAAGATGTCTTTTGATTCAATCTCGTCTCACAATTTGCAGCTCTCTGTTAGTTTCTGTGCACACCCTTCGCTTTATCTGACATAGAAATTACTGAAGGTTATAAATGGCATTAAGATGGGGAGGTAGTGTCATACTTAGCGTCTTTAAAACTTATATTAGTATACTAGACTTGTTGTCAAAGTGATAAGCGTAACGCATAGAAGGAAATCTTTCCGACCCTATAAAGTATTCATATTCTTGATCAGCATCAATAGCCGAGTCATTTTCTGTCTGTACGTCCTTCCTTCCGTCCGTCCGTCTGTCCGTATTTTTGTGTTGTTGTATTGTGTATTGAAGATAAGAGAAAATTAAAAATGCAATTACGTAGGGATAAACTATATCTATCAGATCCCCGAATTGTGATTATATTGGATCATTATTATAGCCAGAATGAAATTCATTTGCAGTGGTTACCCCCCGCCGGATATCTTTATGGCAACGAGAGAAAGGAGCCTCCCCTCAGTAGCTTTCCTTTACGTATGTATGTATGTATGTATGTATGTACATTCCCATGTGTGACGACGTGTATTTTCTAGTTATTCCAAATGTGTTGCTCAAAAGTTCGAATTTCCTTGTGATCGGATTGTCGACTATAGACGTCTTTATTTTAGTTATTGCAGACTAATTGTACATTTTATACAATGTTATTTATATAAAAATACATATCTATGTTTGTATATCCACTTATGTATGCAATTGACCGAATATAGGCGACTTAAAGTTTTACTAGTAATTTAATTCAAATTATCTTTAATTCTCTTTATTTTATAGATCCAATTCAAGTGGTAGTAGTATAAATTCCCCCGGAACATTAACTGCTTCAACCATGGCGAATCCATACGCCATGGGATCCTTATATCACAGTCCGGGCGTGCAAAGTTATTGCGGACCAACAGATAATTTATCTCTCGCCGGCCACTACACAGACATGAGAAGCTCTGCGTCATGGTACGGATCAACTGCCAATGATCCAAGATTTGCAAGTAAGTATAAAATAATATATGTATGTACATATACATATGTAATAGATGTATGTATGTACATATAAATATGTCATATGTGTATCAATATTACATTCATAATATACAAATACAAAATATATGTGCTTCGGACCATTAAATCTATAAAATAACCAATAAATAAGCTAACGCTTGCGGCCCGAAGTTTAAATGTTATACAAATATTTATGTTAAGCGAAACAGAAACATACATATATACATATTTAAGTAAGAATGTCCAGTTAGTTGATATAAATACGTATGTATGTATATTTTAAATATTATGAGTTATGTTGTGTTAGGTATGTGTTAGGATGTGTATGACCCGATTCGGATGTATACAATTGAGCGAATATATGCGCTTTAAAGTGATACAGTAAGCAGGTGCAAGACCATAACAAGACGATAGAAAGTGAGTCAGTGACTCTCAGCTAAATACTAAGGGCAGGCGGAACGAATTTTCCGATAGAAGGAGAGAGATAAATGGAAAGAGCGCGTGAAAACTGCAGGAACGGAGAAAGCCTTATAGATAGACGAAAAACCAACCGCTGTCGCTCGTAAGCATATACGATTTAAAATATATACAGTGGGCAGTAACAATAAACAATAAAGGCTTTACGTAGCGCTGCACCACCATTATTGATATGGTACTTGGTACGATGATACTTGAAGATTTTTATATATTTATCTATGTATGTACATAGAGAGCTCTAGAGTTCAGATTTAGACCATATCTTTGTTAGCCATGTACAATTGTTTGGTTAGACTATTCTCGACTTTCATCTTGAAATTCTGATTGATCATTTATGCGTTTTATGATAGATCATTTTAATTAATGTCAAATATTTTATTGTATGCTTTCTGCTCTTGTGTGTTAGAAACAAAATTAAAACGAAAAGCTGTATTCTGTAAGTTTAAAGTTTGTGGCTTAAAAAAATGCATACACATACATGTATATAAATATTTGTAGAACCGCCGTGTCAGGATAATCGCCAGAATCTTTATACAATTGCCCCTTGTGACTAGGCATTTCATACCAACATAAAAATATGCATATGTAGGTACATACATACACATGTACATATGTACATACATTTGTGCATATTAAAAAAACTCTTCCCAAAACCTTCTTTCGAAGGAAAAAAAAAAACCAACAAAAGTAAGAAAAAGTACTTGACATTTTTTTGGGATTTATTTTCACTTCGAGATATTCATATTCATTCATAACTGCTTAGTCATGCAATCAATATAGATTCTTATTAATTCTATGTTTATTCAAAAATAATTAAGTACTAATGCTGCGGTGCGTAATGCTCGACCACGATTTACCCTATTCTACCCTACCCTCACACATGCATACATACATATCAGCATTTTATGTAAATTGATCTATTATTGGGCTGTACATAATGTTTTGTGAATAGTTACTCGTACCTTACATTTACATAATCTCATACGAACCGCAAATCGTCTGTATTCAAACCTGCAACGATACTTAAAATGTAAACTAAAATACCCAGCAACTACCCTATGTGTTTTAGGTATGAGAGGGCATGTGTGAAAATAATTGATTTTTAAATTATTTGGTTGTCATTGTTTATTTTAGAAATGGAAAGATGATTGTGGACTTTTCAATTTACGGCCCTTCAATTTCGTTGAACGTTTTTCTTCGATGTATGCTTGTATGTATGTATGTATGTGTATATGTACATACATATACATATATGAGTGTTTCAATGTTCATATGCGTTCAGCACACATCCATGTACACATGCAAATGTTTACATATATATACATATTTACATACATATGTGTTTATACATACATATGTGTTTATATATACATATACGCATATGGTCATGTATGATTGTGCATTGGTTGGTGCATATTGGTTCGCATCTGATCTGCTTATTGTAAATGGACATTGGACATTAATCGATACAAATTATATGGACCTGCTCTTATCGTCTGACACTTTGAATTGTAGGGGGGTGGTTGTTGCTGGGGGAAAAAAGGTGGGTAATTTTATGGATAGACAGACAATTTCGAGTAGGAAAAACCGGCTAAGCCATTTTTATTTACCCATGTTTTTTTCTATACGCCGATTACTAACCTGAAGGGCGATTTTATTTAAATTTTAAAATTGTTTTCTTTCAGTATCACGTCTCATGAGTACGACAGCCAGTGGATCAATGAGTCACATGGGAAATATGAGTGGATTAGCAGCATGCAGTGTTAGTGATACAAAACCACTACAGTTTCCTTTGGCACAGAGAAGAAAACGAAGAGTTTTATTTACTCAAGCTCAGGTTGGTACAACATAATTACAATCAAAATAATCTATCCCATCGACATGCGTCTCAAAACGTTGCATAAAACAGACTTGCAGAAAAGTTTTTCTGTACTAATTCAATACGTTGAACCGATGGCACCATATGCATGAGCCGTATTCTATATTCAGACGAACCAGCGAGATATACACACATACATATGTATGTACATAGAGAGAGCCATGAAATTTCATTAGTTTTTATTTTGAGGCGTATTAAGGTGTACCATATTTGCACAGTACCATGACTGAAAGTTATTGGCAGGGACAGTGAAATGAAATGTCCTTATACTAACCACAGAGATTAACATCATCCGCATACATACATATGTAAGTACTCGAGATATTGTTAATACAGTTTGTTAATAAGGCAGGACCTAGAACAGAGGTGGTTAGAAATCCATCGCAAAAGATTATCCGGAAACCCTAGAAGGTCAACCTTTCTTGCAAGAAGTGAGTGGTTCACAGAATCGGCCTACTGAAATCAGTATAAGCATTATCCGGCTGAAAGCCACCGTGGAAGCCTTTAATGATAAAGGGGGTGAACTCTAAAATATTTGTGGTTGTTGACCGTCGCCTTATTTATAACTGCTGGGATGCTGTCCTCTAATATTTTAGGAATAGCGAATAACGTAGATATACCATTATTTTTCCTTAGGTAAGACTTATTTCCGATCTTATGAAGAGGAATTATAAAAGATTTATTCCAGATGGGGGACAGAACATCATCAAGCAGTGCGCTTTCATTTAACATGGGTCTTATAATGCCGTTCGACCTTAGGAAACTGTTTGGATACATATTTCCAGAGTTGCTTTCCAGAGGATAGATTGTTTGGAACAATTATGCAAAAGGACAGGAAGTTGCCACGATACAGAAAATTGCAAAGCGCAGCATATGATAGAAGAGGACAGACATCATGACATGTGTGCAACTACAGATTTATCTGTTGATTTTATTATGTTTCTATAATATATTAGTTATCTGTTCTACTATAATGGTCCCCAAAACTCTTCGAGGACCGAAAATACAAATGGCTTCTCAAAAGGACCTTTAAATCATTATTAAATTTGCTGTCTTAAAATGAGGGTGAGGCATTAGTGATGTAGATGCCGAAAATGGTGGCATTCGTTGCGGTATCTTCTTTCTCTGTATTGTGGGTTCTAGACAGTTCTAGTACAATATCAATAAGTCGTATATTAACTCGGTGGAATATACGATATACAAAATGGCCGGAAGAATCAATCTTAAACACTGGAATTCCAGGTCTTGTGAAACCTGGACATGGAAATGATTTGACGTAAAGTGTGAGCCCACTGCAATGAGGACCCCTCCTTCGCGTTGACACGAATTATGAATCCTATAAATTGTACAGATCGGATAAAACCTAAGCTAACTAAGAATCTAAGCCTTTGATCAGGTTTCGGGAAACAACATTAACATGGGACGAAAATGTGAAACTATCCATTAAAAAAGTGATGAGCTTACTACGTAGGACGCGAGCATTTTGATATGCTACTAGGAGGGAAGTCAGCTTTTTGAATTAGAGGAATTGCAGTTTAACAAACACCATGCAGCAGAGAAGGAAGCAGCAAGGAAGGGGCCTATTCTTCTTCTTAGCCTTATCCTCTTTCACAACCCATAGCTTTAGCCGATATTTGGTAGGGCATATGGTCGCGAAATGAGTCGGCGATACGTTAGTTTTGAAAGAATCTATCTCCCTGGCATAAGGGAAATTAAACTTATTCACCCTTATGTAAGCCGACGGCTCGTGTTTCACTTTGTATAAAAGCAAACCAGTTACATTATTAGATTTGATTTCAAAACTGTCTTTCAAATAACACACGTAATATCTTTTTGAATAAACTGGCTTGTAAACATAAGAACAAAAAATGTCATACCTCGCATTCCATCTTTTTTGTTTTAATTGGTTGTATGTACCCAAAAACAATGAAAACAAATGTACATTTATCGCTCTGTCAGTAAATGAAATTCAGTTTTTTTCGGTATTTTTATTAGATCTTAAGAAACATGAAAATGGAATGCTAATGCATAGCGATTTCTTGTGTTTGTTTTGCTTACACTCCAGGCTTTTTAAAAAGGTATCTATTGTATTTAAAAGACAGAACCTATCTTTAAAAAAATTGTTTGAGCGTGGTGAGGTGCGCTACTAATATTTTCATGAACCAGGCTATACTTAGATATGTACATACATACATATAATGAAAATATACATACAAGCATGTATATAGTATATATATGTATTTACATTTACATATACATGCATATGTGTACGTATGAACATCCTTAAAATTAAACAAAAATTGACTAAGAAAATATTGGGTTTCTTTTTTAGATCTGTAGAGATTCTAATAAGAAGCACTGGTCTAATATTTATCTATATATACATACCTACACATGTATGTATTTACATATACATTTACATAGTATATATATGTATATAAATTTACATATATGTAAATATATATGTACGTATGTATGTATGCAAAAATAAATATTAAAATTCTTATTAGAATCTCTACTGATCTAAAAAAATTACCCAGTATTTTCTTAATCTATTTTTGTTTAATTTTAAGGATGTTCATACGTACACGTATGCAAATATGTACATATGTCCACATGTCCATATGGGAATGCATGTATCTATGTGGTTTGCATAGGGATACTTACTTATATTTCTACATACATATGTAGGAATGCAAAGTGCATAAGCACGAGTTTTTAAGCATTTACACATATATATATATGTAAGTATGCTTCTACATATACCCATACGTATGTGTATATGTGTGCTCACCTATGTATGTACGTATGTATGTATATCCAACGGTAGTAAGTAACGTACGGCATGTGCAAACAGGCATTTGCACAAAGTAAACATAAACTCATAAAAATATTTGTATTTATTTAAGACTTCAAGACTTCAAGTGTACGGCAAATATAAAATTCGTTTTTCATTATAACATTCACAATATTCGAAATGGATTTTACTTGGCAACCAAGCTACAACAACAAAAATAACATAAAAGAAAGAATAAACGGTTCAATAAAGTAGCCAGGGTATTAATGGGGTATTTTAAAGGTCCAGTTCGCCTCACTTTGTCTGCAATACATTGTACATTTACACATATGTACATACACACATTCATACATACATACATATGTACATGAAAATAAGGGGCATACCGAACTTGTGTAAATTTGTATGTGAAAAATCGGAACTATTTTTAAAATGTGTATGTACACATATACATATGTATTTATGAAAGTAAATTAAATTCAAAACACATTCAAATATATTTCTCATTATTATTATATTATATTATAGGTCTATGAACTTGAAAGAAGATTTAAACAACAGCGGTATCTTTCTGCACCAGAACGAGAACACTTGGCCAGTCTTATTCACTTAACACCAACACAGGTAAACAGAACAATTTTATTTGGCATCTTGTTGTTTTTTTTACTGTGCCACAGAACATTCATGCAATGTGAAAATACTCGGGATCTTGTTGTATTTAATACATTTTGGTAACGAAATATCAAGTGACTTACGTATAATAATCGGTAGATTAAGTCGTTTGTAAATAGACAGTTATAAAATATTAGTTATTTTGGGTCGTCGAAAGCACTTTAAGGAAGAAAAAAGCCAAAGGGTCATAACTATAACATACACATATTTATACACACATGCATTAATACATATTTACATATGTATGTACACATATCAAGCTTAACTATGGGTGGTTGTACACATGTCTAGATACATACATATGTACATCATACATATGGACATATTTTAACCAAAAACCCATCGGAAGCTTTAAAAAGGGTGAGAGCGTGACCCACCTCAAGAAAAACCTACTACATATGTATGTAGTCCGAATTTACTAGATCACCGTAAATATGTACATACATTTACATATGTACATATGTGAACGTTTGGTTGGATTACATTTTACAATAAAAAAAAAACACTTTTATTTGACTTTGCTCAATTTGTAAGGATAAGTAGGTACATACATACATATGTACATATTCTTATTCTAAAGGTGGGTATACCATCGAAGGTAAAACCTACATATATAGTGCTACGACAATTTCCTACGACTTAAAATTCAAATATGATAAGAAATAAGGAGAAATAGGTTTCCCGCGGAAATTGAAGGTAAATAAATTTTCGTCTGATCCAGATTTGCCAATCTGATAGTTCTCTACGATAATGTTGGAAGATAGTTTCTTGTATTTAAAATTGTGGAAGGCTCAGATCTTCGACTTTTTAGGGGGATTGGAAAAATGTTCAAGGAAATTTTCATACCACATGACTCTGCACACAACATTTTCTTAATCTCGCTTCTATCGTCTATGAGAACTAGTCGTCAAACAAGACGGAGAGTCACATATGGCAATATCGACGTGGCTTCACTACACTAAAATTTAACTTCGAACTATTTACGCTTCGAACCAACCCGACTTTTTCTGATAGACTTATAATTTTTGTTTTTTTTTTTAACAAATTTTTAAGGTCTGATTTTTTTAACTCATTTGTTAGAGGCATCCCTTATTTTTTGCACATAACCTAACTATCTTACATCGGTTGTAATGAACTTAAACATTCTATAAAGCTAATGAATGCATCTATAATACATGTCAAAACCTTTTGTGGTCTTAGCTTACCGTCTGAAAAATATTAAGCTTTCAAAAAAAGTATGATTTTGTATGCGGTATTTTTTACGTAATTTTGAAACAACTTTTAAAAACTCAGAAAACTCTTTTGAACTCAATTCGAAAAAGAGTAAATCTTTTTTGTGCACAGGTTTGATGTCGTTTAAGGTATTGATTTTGAAAATCAATGGAGAGCCGTCTTTTTTTCGAGTTTTTCTGCCGAAGTTCATTACAAGCAGATGTTAAGTTCATTACAATCAGAAGTTATGCGAAAACAAGTAGCGGTACCACTAAAACAGAGTTAAAAATACACAATATTTTAAAACTTCTCAAAAAAATATCTTTCATTGAAAACAAAAAAGATTATGAAACCATTTCTAAGCTCCATAAGCTTCTAAGTTAAATTGGTTCGAATCCGAATTATCGTGTCGGATAGTGGTTTTGAAACTGATTATATGGGGTCGGAAAGCGAAAGTTTCCGTGCGGCCACTTTGACCACAATTCTAAAATAGTCTTCGAGTACCAAGTATACAAACATTAAATATTCTTCAGAACTATATATGTACATTTATTCTAGTTGGACGGTGCTATGTTATGATATGAAAACAGACCTAAAACTAGTCAATTATAGTTACAATGTGTGTTTTTTTGCTCTGTGTGCAAATTTGCGTTTAAACATGAATACTGTTTGAGGCCCACGTCTTTTGGTCGTGAATCTTGAGGGTTCCAAATAACTTAGATTTTAGACATTAGATCCTTGAAAAGTAACCTATTCTTTCCAATGAATGCTTCACACATACATACATACCTGTATGTATAGGGATGTATCAATGGGCGAATTTATATCATATTGTAGGTATACAGAGTGTTTAGGGTATGATCATAGGTACATATATATACGTACTTGCAAATGTTTAAGTTGCACGTATGTACATACGTGTAGTTTAATAATTTAGGTGCTTCACTACCTTTTTATAAACACAATGGCCATGCCCTTTAATTGTAAAGAACATGATCAAACAATGACCACTTTCAATACAATTTAAGGGTGAGTTTAGAATGTATTATTTCCTCATTGTTCTTTAATGCATTTTTATCTTTCAAAAACAGCCACTGTTGTGAGCATATACAATTTTATTTGCTCTGGATCTGCTTTATTCAAAGGTAATCAGCATCCATCTTTATGTGGGTAGGCTTTGTAGAAAATTTTCAAAAAATTCAACTGAAGGGTGACAATACAATTCAAATGTTTTTATTGTTATAACACGTCGCATCCTAAACCTATTGTGCGGACCGCAAAAGTAATTGCTTAACCTAATGACAATTATGTGTTAAGTGGTGGGCATTGTTGTTATCACGCCCTTATATTTGTTCACTGATGTAAATATTAGTTGGTGCCTGCCTGCCTTAACGGCGTTATATCAATACCTTGGGCGTTATTGTTAGTTCCATCAAAAATGTGCTATGCATCATGCATATTGGAGGAATCACACAGCAATGGATTATCTTATTCCATTTTATTTAAGATACATACAAAAAGTTTATTTTTACACACGTTACTACTTTTATAGCCGATATAGTATATGGTCAGTATATGATTTTTTTTCTGTCATCTACATGTATACAAATGTGCGTGGCGAAGTTTTTAAACAAACTTGATTCAATGTAATATCACATGAGTCTTCAGACAAAATTCGATGGCTACTCATGCTGATCAAGAATATACATTCATATGTACATACAACGCGATGGTCATGTGAGAGTTATGGTAAAGTCTATTGAAGAATACAGGAAACTTGTTGAAACTCTTACTAAAGATTCTGTCAAATTTCACACATACCAACTTAAACATGAGAGGGCATTCAGAGTTGTTATTAAGAATTTGCACTTCTCAACGGATATCTACTTAATCAAACAAGATGTGAAGTCCAAAGGTCACGATGTTAGAAACATTAGTAAAATTAAAAGTCATGTAACCAAAAAGCCATTGCATTTGTTCTACTTTGACATTGAGCCCAACAATTAGAACTTAGATATATACAAAGTTAAACTCATTGGTAACGCAGTTTTTAATATAGAACCACCCCGTAAAACCAATGAAATCGTTCAGTGCAGGAATTTGAACACACAGTTGATGCAGGAATTAGCACCTCGAACAAGTCTCTAGAAAAAATAGAACAGCTTCTAGAACAACAATCTCAACTTACCAATAATTTACTTAACATGATAATGTTACTTGTAAATCAGCTATGCAAATAAAATCAAGCAGGGCCTTAAATTTCAAATCATGGACTAGGGAAAATGCTATGCAGGCTGCCACAATTGAGATAAAATGTATGCACGCAGATGTATCAATAACAGCGATTTATCTCCCCCCAAGATTCACAATAAAATAACTCGATTTTAAAAACTTTTTCCAAGGACTGGGAACAAAGTTTATCATGGAAGGCGACTTCAATGCCAAACATCCATGGTTGGGATCCAGATTAACTAACCCGAAGGGATCGGAGTTATACAAATGCATACGAAACAATAACATAACAACATTGTCAACTGGTGTGCCCACATACTGGCCAACTGATAGTGGAAAAATTCCAGATTTGATTGATTTCGTAGTATTCTCTGGAATCACACAATTACACATGCGAGTAATGGAGAGCTTTGACCTTAACTCAGATCATTCTCCAATAATAGCAACTTACAGCACAATAGCCCATATGTTGGAAAAGCCCTATAAAGTCATTACAGCCTCTACAGACATTAACGCATTTAAAAGCTATTTAGACTCAGCTATAAGCCTGGACTTTTCGTTAAAAACAGGTGAGGAGATAGACTATGCTGTTTAGCTTTTCACAAATACAATTCATAATGCGAGCTACAGAAACACGAATCATGCTCTTAATCATCAACAACCAAACCAATTGTACCTTTCAACCGAACTTCGACAAAAAATACAAAATAAAAGGAATCTGCGAAAACGCTGGCATGAAACTCACTACCCTTCTGACAAAAGATTATACAACAAGGCTGGATCTGAGCTTAGACAACTGCTGTCGAACTTACGCAATGAATCTCTAGCTGAGTATCTGAGAAACTTAGACCCTAATTCCAGCAACAATGAATACAACCTATGGAGGGCGGCTAAATACCTAAAGAAACCAGCTAAAAGAATAATAAATATTCACAAAAGCAATTGAACTTGGTGTAGGTCTAATAATGAACAAGCGGAAGCATTTGTACAACATCTGCACTCTGTGTTTCAGCCAAACGATATAAATAATTATATAACAGAGACTGAGTCACCCTGCCAAATGAGCTTGCCTATTAAAAGCATCAAATATGAAGAAGTTGTGACAGAAATCAAATGCTTGAACAATAGAAAAGCACTAGGCCCTTATAAAATATATGGTATCACCCTAAAGAGTTTACCACCAAAATGCATTGGGTTTCTCACTCTTATATTTAACGCTATTCTCAGACTAGACCACTTTCCAAGTCAATGGAAATGTGCAGAAATCGTTATGATCCTAAAGCCAAACAAAATAGAAACGGAATTGACATCATACCGTCCCATTAGTCTGTTGACAATATTCTCGAAAGTGTTTGAAAAAATACTATTGAAGAGAATGTTGCCATTTTTGGACGAACTTTCCATCATTCCTAAATACCAATTCGGATTCAGGAGGGGTCACGGGACCCCTGAGCAATGTCACAGGGTTATTAATGATATAGTTTCGGCACTTGAAAACAAAAAATACTGCACTGCTGCATTTCTTGATGTTCAACAAGCGTTCGATCGAGTCTGGCACAAAGGTTTGTTGTACAAGATAAAGAAATGGCTACCTGCTCCGTACTATTTATTAATAAAATCATATCTCGCTAAAGGATGCTTTTACGTGCAGCAGAAAACCGATACTTCATCCCTACTTCTCATCACCGCAGGCGTCCCACAAGGAAGCGTATTGGGACCAATTCTCTACACCCTATATACGGCCGACATTTCAGTTACAAACAACTGCACTGTTGCAACATATGCTGATGATACAGCCGTTTTAGCCACAAGAACATCTATAAATGAAGCTTCCGAACTCCTGCAAATTGAGCTAAGCCTAGTTGAAGACTGGTTCCTTCGATGGAAAATTAGAATCAACTCCCTGAAATCCGTCCAAATAACGTTTTCATTAAGACCAGGTAACTGCCCAAATGTTACACTTAATGCTACACTCACCAATTCCACAAAGTACCTGTGTGAAGTATCTCTATCAACAACTTAGACTTAAAACACTAAAAATGTCCTGGTTGATAAGTCGAAAATCAGAAACCAATTTGGAAAACAAAATTCGCCTCTACAAATCCATACTGAAGCCTGTTTGGACCTACGCTATACAGCTCTGGGGGACTGCTAGCAACTCAAATATTGTCACATTGTCAATGCTCCGTTTTACGTATCTAATGCAAATATCCACAAAGATCTTAATATTCCAACCATTAAAGAAGAAATAAAGAAAACTAGTAAGAAATACATCGACAGACTCCACAACCACGAAACTAATTCAGCCTTAAGTCTATTAGACAATAGCTTAACAGTAAGAAGACTGAAAAGATACCACATTCTCGATATCCCTGATAGATAAATCCAACAATCTGAAAAGATGTTATATATAAAACCAGGGCTCATTGAAAAACTGATATTTCTGTTAATTTAATATTAATTATACAAGTTACTTATTGTTTAAACACACAGATAGTAAATAAAAAGAGAGAAAAAAAAATTAAAAAAATATGTACATACATATGTACACTAGTGTGCAAGCCTCCGACATATTAATTGTTACTACGAATGCTAATTTAATAAGAAATTGAGGTTCATGCGTGGTAACAAAACCTTTTCTCCTACTTATGAACTTCCTATTCAAAATGGTTTCTTCGATCATTTTTCCATTCGTTTTTTAACTAATCTCGTGCCATGAAATAGCTGTGGTTGGTTAAAATTTCGAATTAAATGAACCGGTGATTCAACTTTAAATTGTAAATTGCGTTTCTAAATTTTACGAATCAACTACTGTGCATAAATCTATTGGCAGTTTTAAGCAGAATCTGGATCAGTGCCGACAAGCAAGCTGGTTCCGGTGGTGTTTCAATTCCAGATAGCTGCACTTTACTGATGCATAATGGTATGTGACCATTTGACATTCTTGGTCCATAGCACCAATCAATACTTTCTGTTGAGCGTACTATTCAATATCTGGCTCGTCTTGGAAAGCGAGACGAAGGAAGGAAGCCGATTTAAATGCTCCATGTACTTGTTATCGTTATCGGTCATTTTTTCTGATAGTGTCAATTTGTACCGGCGCCCATTTCTCCGTCGTAATCGTCTTTGCTCATTTCGTTAATTTCCTACATCTTGCGCTTTAGATTCACACAACAGCGACATGCTCTTTCGCATAGTTTCATTATCTTGTTCAATTCATTTACTTGTTCTGGGTAGTCGACTATTTGAAGCCACAATTTATGACTTGCTCGAAGATCTATGTGGGCCCAATTACGTCTTGCTGGCATTGTTCACTGTATCACACACAAAAATTTACTCAATTCACAAAAAAATTAAAAAACCGACACATATTAGATGATTTCGAGACAAAAAACATAACTTAATTGAGAGGAGCAAATCCCTAGTTGATCGAAATAACACACACATTAAAATTTCGACTATATTAGTTAAGTGGGGGTATATGAAGAAAAATATCTTACGACCTATTACTTGAAAAACAACAAAAATTGCCACAAGCAAATACAATTTAAACAATCAAAAGAAATAAAAATTCACACGGAAAATATAATTTTATGTCAGAAACTGACAGCTCACGCAAAGGCAACTTGCTCAAACCACCAAAACGGCTATTAAAGAGCTAATGATATGAAAAAAATAGTTTAGATCCGATTCGAAAACCTTCTTTATATGCAAAAAAAATTGCATAAGAATCGGTCGAGCCGTAAAGGCATCTTGATCAGAAACACTAAAACCGCAATTAAAAGTGAATGAGCGTTTATATGGTGATGAAAAATAGTTTACATCCGATCCGAATTGGTTGAAAAGTTTTAGCTCAGCCGCCTCTCCATTGATTTTGATGAGCGATACCTCAAACAACGCCGAATTGATACACCTATACACAAACAATAGGAAGACACAGGATATACTTTTTTTCGACTTATTCTGAGTTTTTAAAGTCTAAATCAACATTTCTGCATTTCAAAGCATAATATTTTTTAAACGGTAAGCTAAAACCACAGTGTTGCATAGAATGTCTAGGTTCATTATGTGAAATAAAGAAACATTAGCTCTAAAAAAAATTACAAAAAAATACCAGACTTTCAAAGTCTTTACAAAAAAGTTAAATTTAAAGTTCTCAGTCTATCAGAAAAAGTTGGTTTGGTTCGAAGCGGGAAAAGTTCAAAGATTCAGAAAAGAATCAAAGTTCGATTTTATCGAATAGTGTAATCGATCCAGCCGTTTGGGAGGAATTCAGTCACAATCCCAGTACCACGAGAATTTTAAGTACATAGATATGTAACTATATATGAACTATAAGGCCATAGTCTTTTTTCCTCAGGGAACCAAACCAACTTTTTCTGAAAGATTATGGACATTAACATTTTTTAATCAATTATGGTTTTTTTTTGTCCATTGGAGAACTTTTTTTGATCCGAGAATAAAAAAAATTATAATACATTTTCAATTCGATCTATCGATGGCCGCCCTTTTGGTGTTCCTGGGATATCAGGTATATCAATTTATCAATCTATCAAATTTTCAGTCATATTGCCACATATAAAGTCCCGGTTGTTCGATTGAAGGCCAGTAGATCGATTAACAAACACTAATTTTACGTTAAGTCTTTCATGCTAGCGCGTGCATACATATGTACAATATCCAAAGAGCCACAATTTGAGACAAATTGAAAATAGATCAGGATAAATAAGTGAACGTTGTCACTTTTACATATTTGCCACTCCACTTCACAACTAATCTAGTCTGAATGGTAGAGATATAGAGAGATGAAATGACAAAATGGTAATCGTCCCCAGAGCAGAAGCTAACATGACACTAGTTGTGCAAAAGCGATGTTTTACAACATAAACAGCTAATTAGATAAGCCAACTTATAATCTCGGAGTTTTCGCTTCCAAAAGGTTGACCTATACATATAGAAGTCGGCATATGTATAAGTATTTACTTATAAGGTAACTGAGTTAACTGACTCACCGAAATTATTTGACTTACGGAAGTTATAACTTGCTTACAGAAACAGCTTTATTCAACTAAGAAAAAGTATAAAAATTTAATTCTTAATATGCTTTTGCTTCGGGCAAAAATTACTGTGGGCATTAAGCAAACGAGCATACTAATTAATCATATTTCCTTGACTTTATATACATTTAAGTTATTGACTAATGGGCCTATTAATATTGCTATTCTAGGTAAAAATTTGGTTCCAGAACCACAGGTACAAATGTAAAAGGCAAGCTAAAGAAAAGGCAATGGCGGAACAAAATCAACACAACCAGGTAAATGATTATATATTTGATAATACTTACTGGCTGTAATTTTTAATCACAACGCTCATACAGTGCGAAGGGTTTTGTAGCCGCTGTTGTACCTTATTATACCCGGTACTCGAAGAGATTAGTACATATACTTTTGAACAGCATCAATAGCCGAGTCGATATTGACTTGTACGTGCGTCCGTCCGTCAGTCCCTCTTTTTTGTGGTCTAGTTCTTAGAGACTATAAGAGCTAAAGCAACTAAAATTTGAATCAAGACTGCTTTGATTTCACGATTTCAAAGTATCGCCCCGCCACCACAAAGCACAAACATTTTTAGCATCCAACGTTTTGAAGAGAAAACCAAAACGCAGTTCAGTAGAAAATGGCCAATTCTATCAGAATCCTGAATACTGGATTCCTGGATCACTATTTATGGATCCCCTGGATCACCCGGTATAAAGTGACTTGCATATACGCGAATTACAACGTTCCACCTCGTTTAAACAAGTACTGTGGCCATACATACATATATGTATGTATTGTATTGCACGGTTGAATTTTATGATATCTTCTGGACGTTGATATGCAATGACTGCACCATCAAGTGGCCCATGCGACACCAAGCCAAAGCCTGTTACGCGCGGAACCCAGCAGAACGCAGCCCTCCTCCCGCCCAACCGACCGAGGGGCGCTGCCGCATGACGCGCGGCGCGATTAACCGAACCGGTCGCGAGCATGCAGGAAAGATAGATGTTAGGCTAATATTCGAGGAAAATTAGATCTAATCATAACTAGACTAAGCTAAGCAAGCAGAAATTACCAAAATCAGAAACAAGACAAAACTAAAATGAAACTAACTACGGGAGAGGTAGGCTAGTATAAGAGATTTAAGAAGAGGAAGGGAGTTAGTTGAGGATATAATGTGGTAGAGGGAATTATAATCCGAGCATAAAACCCTAAAGGGTTCGTGTGAGGCATAATTCGATCTACATAGTGGAAGGAACAAAGGAATAAAGTTTCTAGTGGGTCTAATGGGAATCGTAAAGTTTATGCGGCTCAGCAAGTCAGGGCTGTATACATCCCCCTTGATCAAGTTGTGCATAAAAATTACACCAAGCATTTTTCTACGACTAACTAAGGATGGAAGATTTATTAAAAGAAGTCTACTACGGTAGGATGGCAGTCTCACAGTTGCATCCCAGTCCCCTGTACTGATTCAATACGGTCCTGATGTATGTTGTACTGAGGGCACCATACACATGAGCCGTATTCTAAAATCGGACGAACAAGCGAGATATAGAGAGTCTTCGTTATATAGGGGTCCTTAAATTCCTTTGACCACCTCTTTATAAACCCAAGCACACCCATGGCTTTATTTACCATGGTAGAAATGTGTTCAGAAAACGAATACAATTATATTAGCCCAAGCGTGATAATTTGATTTAAAAACCGGCGTTGGTCGTGTAATCGTGGATAACGATCCACAGAAAAAATTGTTTCCAACCCCTTAAATGATACATATGTATTTTTAATTTATCAGCATCAATAACTAAGTTGATGCAGCCGTCTGTCAAAGTTTATGACTTACGAAGTCTAATATGTGAATGAATGAATGAATCAATAGCTTCCAGAATCTAATCGCCTTAATTTTTTAAACTGAAAGAGATCCGATGATTTTAACAGCTTGAAAAATGTTTTGGAGCATAGTGAAAAATATGAGCATTTACCTAGTCAACAAGTGCACACTAATTACATTGAATATTATAAACATATTAAGAAATTTGATAAAGATAAATTACACTACTCGACAAAATCAAACTTTTTTTCCGCTTCAAACAAAACCAAAAAAAAAAAATTCACAAAAATCCAAATTGTTGCATTTTAAAGCTTAACATTTTTCACACGGTAAGCTAAACTCACAAATAGTTTGGGTACACTTTATAGATGCAATTGTCAGCTTTTTAAAATGACAAAGTTCATTACAACCAGATGCAAGATACTTAACTTATGTTAAGAACAAATCAGAGATTTTAAAAACAAAAAAAAAAACAAAAAAATTTTAAGAACAACAAAATTATCTTTAAACCATTTCCAATCTCTATAATTTTCAGAACAAGTTTTCTGTCGGGTAGTGTTAGTTGCATGTTTTGGTACATTGACTAACCATTTTTATATTTATTTCTTCTTTTAGTCTGCAAGTTCGCCGAGACGTGTTGCGGTTCCAGTATTAGTTAAAGATGGAAAACCGTGTTCCGGAAGTAACAACACAACTCAGTCACAAACGCATGGTAATAGCTCGACACCCTCGGGCAACAATAGCAGTGCTAGTAATAGCGGAAACGCCAATAGTGGAACAGTAGCAGTATCTTCCAACGTAACGAGTGGCCTCAATCTCATATCAGGAGATGCACCTAATTCCCACTCACCTGATACATCTTCATCTCTTCTTGCAAGCTACGGAACTGTTGGAGGTTCCAATGTTGCTATGTTACAGCAGCCCTGCAACAATACTCTCATGTCAAACAGTTTAGCTATGGCATATAGAAACCAAAATAATTTTATTTCCAATGGGCATCAGCAGCAATGCGGAGGCTATTTGCCATTGCAAGGTAGAGCATGGTAAATATTTATAATAAGTACGATTTTTTCGGTAGTGTATTCTATTCGGTTATTCTGTATGTATGTATGAACTAATGAAAACATGTTTAGAGATGAAGTTGAAAGTGTTATATTGGATATCAATTTCATGAAATGAAATATACATATGTTTAAATTATACCTAACTTAACAGCAATAGTAAAAATATTTTAATATAATGTCTCTAAAAATCTCAATAACATAATGGCTTAAAATAAGTGTAAATAAATAAGCCAATGTATACAAATAAAAATACAAAAAATAAGCAATTTGTTTGTATTGTCTATTTTGATAGGTGATTGAAAATTAACCATTTCTTGCATTCAGTTCTGCATAAAAGTCGGTGTCAAAACGTGACTCAGCGAAAAATATCCGGATATCAGTTGATTAATGCAGTATACGAAATTCCAGGATATGAATGGAACTGCCAGATCAAAATCAGTAAGCGAATCCAAATAGACGAACAGTTGGTTGGTCTGGAATCATCTAATTGATTCAGTTCGTTAATTAGCAAAGTTCACTCTCGGCTGGCTCTATGTCGTTCCCATAGAGTTTTAGCAGTTAAAGGTAACTAATTTGATGGGTAACTTTTAACATCGTCCATTTAGTCGAATAAATGGCTATCATCCCTTTACTATTACCTACTACTACCCATTACTTTAGGTGAGAGATCTTTTCCCTCTACCCCTCACGACATATTCGACAAAATTAGCAATAAGTGGTTTTCCCGACGTTTCCTGACAGTTGGCCTCCTATGGGCCGTATTTTTTATCCGAAAATAAAATTATTCTTTGTTATCTGAACGATAACTTAAATTTATGTGTACTTGAGTAACGGAGCCTTTTGGGAGCAACAAAAAAAAAAAAGGCACTTCATCACACATAGGTTTTGGCTCTTAAAAATACATAACTTTTCTGATCGACCAATCAACCAGCACTCTATGTGGAAAATATCTATTCCAGTTCATAGAGTCAACAATTTTAATTGTATTATCACTATTCAATTCTAATAAAAAGAGGAGGAATGTTTTGAGACGCTTACGGCTGAGGTAAGGAGCGAAACGAAAAAAAAGTGGTAAAATCATGGAAAAACAGATAGTTTTGTATCGATACACTAGCAACATGCGCCTGCAAGATTCGAAGAATAAGAAGGTACAGAAATAATTATATTATATTTGGGGATAGAGTAAGTCGTTAAGAACAATACTCGGCTGGAAAAAAGTGGACAGAATGAATTCTCCACCGGTACACCATTTTGTGTTTTCTTGCAACATAAAATCTGGTAAAAATTCAAATTTCGTATTAAAAAAAGCAGGAATGAATTATTTGAGAATGCATTTGGTGCTTGGAGGTCAACAATGCGGTACATAAATACAAAAAACGTGTTTTATCTCTCTATAAATTGATCAAATTAGCACCGAGCATAAGATTGATCAACTATAATATCTATTTAATCAGTTTTCGTTCGACTGCATTAATAAGATTTTCATAGTCTTATTTTGATGCTATTTTCTATCCCTCTTGCCGAAAGAAGATAGAACTATTCTTTTTTTCGCTTCGATATGTTAGTATTTAAACGGCTGGTTGTTGGTGTATTTTACGCGAAATTTTATATCGAACAAAAAACGTTTGCATGGAAAAATCATCCCTGATTCGGTCGACCGAAATTTTAGCGATTCTGAGTACTGGGCTTTAAAGCCTATGCCAATATCAATCTTTCAAATAAGTTAAACAAATTAAAAATGCAAATAAATTCAATAAAATCTCATCCATCTATAATAGTTTAGCTTTTTGCCGTTTAATGGCCTCAAGCTCTTTGAGAAGCACTGTGGTAATGTATCCTTCAACTTTTCAACTTTCAACAGATCGAAAAAAAAACTGTCCGACTAAATCTAGAAAGTCAGCGAAAGTATTTTGTGGTATTGATAGTATTTGTGTGATATTCGTTGGTATGTTTCTAGCAGCTCGACAAAGATACATTCGTTTTGTGTTCCGCGAGGCTACCTAGCAAACAGAGAGTAAAGTCTCATTCATATGGAGGCAAAAATGCCGCAGAAGTTGAAAGATAAATGACCACCGTGCTTATAAACGACCTTAAGGACATCAAACGGCAAAAAAAGGAAAAAAATATATTAGATTAATGAGATTATATTGAATTTATTTACATTTTAATTTGTTTAACTTATTTAAATGCCAGTTGCTTCATGTTGCCAAGACACAGACCGGGCTGGGCTGTTAACAAAATGTTTTAAGTTGTGTTCCTTTTGGGACCAAGTACTGCTCCACAGGCGGCGATTTAGACTCAAAACTATCCAATTTTGAATAGAAAGGGTGCTTGGAGGCGCCGTTTTACAACTTTGCCAAGGGCGAAAATATTCCTTGGCACGGCCTTGCTGCTCCACCAATCAAAGAAGACTGCGGATGTTATTTCCAGCCATATGCAAATTCTTTGTCATATTTTCAAACTGCGGAATATGCGAAAGGGTATCGTTTCATGGGTTTATAGCATGTAAACATATTTATATGATTTATAATACTCTGTATAGACAAACGACCGTCCTGGTTTCTTTCCTGCAGATATGGGTTTAATCAAAGATGTCGTCGCTTATTTCGTTGATTGTCCTCCTCTCCGATCTCCGATCTCACTAAAATAATCTCCTGCATGGATCAATTTCGCATTCATTGTTTTATTAACCTTATATTCAATTTAGACACATTTTCAAAAGGGTAAACAAAACAACACAACTGCCAGAGAAGTGTAACCATACGGCATGCAGTTTTCACCTCTGGTCACACTCTGCTGCTAGCAAAATATATTTCACAAAAACGGGGATGATATCTGATCGTTTCCACACGAATATTATACCTGATATGGCCGACAGAAACTTTAATATCCGGTACTCAGTCCATATGTACATACAACATGTATGTACTTTATATACATCATAGCGTCGGAAACGTTACCTTCTGTGCGTTACGAAAATTGCTCCGACAACAAATACAAGAATACCTGGAATATCACTTCCCGACATTTTTTCTGATTTGAACCAAACTAGCTTTTTCTGAAAGATATGCGGCTTAGAAACAGCTTGATGATCATGTCTATCCCCGGTACTTGTATTTGTGGGGAAAATTGTCTGTAACGTACAGAAGGAAACGTTTCCGACCCCATAAAGTACAAGTATATATTCTTGATCAGCATCAATAGCCGAGTAAATAGCCATGTCTGTCCGCCCATATGAGCGCCTAGTACTCAGAGACCATAAGAGAAAGGGCAACCAAGTTTTTCATCCAGACTTCTGTATGCTCACACTGTTACAGGTGTTTTTCAAAATGAGCCCCACCTCCTTTCGCCCCACCTCCTTTCGCCCCACCTCCTTTCGCCCCAGCTCCTTTTGCCCCCACAAAGGTCGAAAATCTCCCACAGCCACAATTTTGAAGATAATATTAACCAATTGCCATTCTGTAGGGAATAGCCATATCTATCAGATCACTGAATTTTGATCATATTGGATCATTATTATAGCCAAAATGAAGAAATTAATTTGCAGTGGCTAAACCCACACCGTCCAGCAGCTGTTTTTATTTTTTGCACTTTCTCTCATCCACACTCTGCTTCGTGTAGTGTGTGTCTCTTGGGGAGGGGCGCGAGCTAAAAGAGCGTGTTGGCGTGAGAAATGATGCAGATGTTGTTAAAAAAATTTAGAAAAATTTTAAAAATAAACATTTAAAAAAACCGTTAGGGTTTACTACTGAGTACCAGGTTTAAATGTTGTGACGCCTAAGATGCGTCTCACACGTCCCTTCTTGTTTTTTCTATGTCAGAACTCTTTTTTAAATATTTTTAACGCTTTTTTTAAAGGTAGTGCTTCTTTTTTCACATAACTTATCTTACATCTTACAGAATATAATTACTTTTCTTTACTTGTCCTGAGTTTCAATATAAAAAGTAAATTAAATAAAAATAAATTAAATTTTTCCAGACGGTAAACTTAAACCTCTGAGTGTTTAGGTCCAATTTTAAGCTGCATCAAAAACACCAAATCAAAGATACTTAGGTGAAAAAAGAATAAACAAAAATACCAGCTTTTAAAATTTCTTAAAAAAAAGTTCTGCCATAAAAAGAAACCATAATTCATAAAACAATTTTAATGACCCAAATATATCAGAAAAAGTCGGTTTGGCTTCTTCAAAAAAAACAGTATGAGACAAAACACCATCCTATTTATAAGTCCAAATGATTAAAGAAAAATATTTTACCACCCGTTTGTAAACCTACTTGTACCGCTATATATTGCGGGAGGTGCTTCAATTTCAGGCAGTTTTTTTTTTCCTGGCTCCCAACATACATACATACATATGTCATCAGACTCATGTTAGAGTTTGTTTTCGGTGTTTGTAATTTGGTTTGTTTGGAGCAGTTTCAGTTGTCTCTTTTCCAATTGTCTATGTTGATTTCGTTCATCAATGTTGTGATTGATATTCACGCCCATATTCACACTGTCGTGATCTTCTTCGATCGTCTGCCCTTTCTGTTCGACGGTGCAACAGGGCACCTTGCATTTTGCTTGATAAAATGCACACAAACGAATATTTGATATCGAAAACTGACATTCAACGCGATTCAAAGTTAATGAGTGGTTATATTAAGATGATAAAATAGACTACAGCCTATTCACAGTCCTACTTAATATGCAACAAAAATTGCATACGAATCGGTCGAGCCGTTTAAGCATTTAAAGGCATGTTGTAGATTTATAAATGCAAGGTATGAAGTCTTACTTACATTTGTATTTTCATATTTGTACAGGCCGGTAGGGCTGAAATTTTGTTGAGTATAGTGCAACGATCACAAAAAATTCGTAGTCTTTCGCATCGCTGAATACTGAAACGAAAAACCTTTCAGGAGACGATACAATAAGTTCCCACCCAGTCGCATGTAAGAAATTTATTTTGTGATCTCAGCAGGGTTTTAGTTTCCAGCTGAACGATTACTGAAGTTTGATCCTAATAAAAAATTAAATTACATTATAAAAGACGTTTGCAAATTAAAGTGGGCAGAAAGAGCAATCAGCAGCATAAATAATCATCCCTTTTAAGAAGTGAACAATAAGATGCAATAAATATGTGGAATTGAAGGCATAATCTGCGACAATAAGGGTGAATTATTGTTTTCTGGAGTGTTTTTGAACTCAAAATCTTTTAAAGCAGATCTGAAATATTAGTCCCAATTAGAATG